TAAACATGATTAAGATTGTTTTACACATTTTCAAACCCATGTATTTTAGAAAACTTAGCATTAAAAGTGATATGGTTAAATCCTGCTTGAACTTTCTCAGATATAAGCCAGGGAAACACAAACATTTGAATAATTTTACACGGTTGTACCACGCAACACTGCTTACCCTTTTCTTTTTGAGGCAAACTCAAAAATTACTTTGCAGTGTGGACCAAGCAAATGCAAGCAAAATAACTCAGTTTTTGTTATACTTTCCATATAAAAATGTGTACAGTGCCACAGGGTGAAAAGTGAAAGCCCTGTTAAAAAACCCATGGAGACGATAGAGCAGTAGCTGCCAGCAGTTGCGAGGAGGGGGCATGGGAGTGTATGGCAGGAGTGGGATTGAGAGGAGCTGGTGTTTATCCAGAGCTGCATGTATTTCAGACATGGCTCACTGTATGCGACATATAAACGCTCCCTTGGGCTTCTGCTGTGATTGTGGAATCAAATGCCAGCTGTCCAATGTGTCCTAAACGGGTCCAAGGCATTTATTTTAAAGACTGGGCTACAATGCACTTACAACTGATCAACTGTGCACAGAACATTACATTTGATTGGCCAGTTCTCTATTATGGTGGCCCTGATGAAAAAATATAGTGAGATTTTCTGTTGAATCTCTTAAGTAGGCAGTGACAGTTAACTCAGATAGTTTAATAATGTATCCAACACATAATGCAACATCTGTGGCAGCATGTGAGAATCACAAGAAATATTTATAGTAAAACATTTTGTGGGAGGACTTGTGACAACATTTTCAACACTTGTTTTGTGACTTTTCTTTGGAAGACTTAAACTAATTATCGTAAACAATAGCACATCTTACAGCACTAGAACACTGAGGAAGTCATTTTTAAAAAGTGCAACTTCTATTTACTGCCCATTAACAAGCTACACCCGGCAGACACGATTATATTGTCCAATATAACACTAAATAAACTGTACACTTTGTACAACACAGATCTAGCATTTGAATGGTGTTAAGAGCGTCAGCTTCCACCAGTCATGTCTGCGCTGATCCAGGGGAGGCCATCTCCAATTGATCAATCTCCCCTGTGTATAATCATGTATAGACCAGACTCATGGGGAGTCGCAGTGCCCTGGGGAAGCGTCCCGGCGCCTGAGCTAAGCCGGGGGCCGTGGATCAATTTGGGATCTCAGCTAAGGGTCCAGGGTGCACGCCTATAGCCACCACTCCCAGCAGAGGTAGGACATGCTCTCTGTATGGCTTTTAAACTGCAACAGGGAGAGAGCGTGCTGCAGGCCTCGCTATCGGCAACGGCACTGCACTAATCGATAAGCAGTAAGCCGCATGAACCCATCATGAAAGTAGGAGAGGAACAGAAGAGCTTGAGGGAAGTTGTCAGCAGCCAAATAGAAAGGAATGACTTTCATCTTAAAACACAAGCATCACTTACAATGCTGCATCATACATTAATCACAAATATGGTAACAAATAATATTTCATTTGTTATGTATTGTGTCAAAAGATAATCTTAATATTAGACAAGAGAAATATGTTTGTAAAATGGATAAACTTCCAAGTTGTTTAAAAAGCTGCAGTTAATATTGTTACACATAAATATGGAGAGAGATATTGTAAGAATGCAAAGTCTAATCATGTAACAGCTTTTCAAAGATATTTTTTTTAACGTAGCTTTAGTTAAAATCATATTTCTTTTGGGTGAAATCCTTCCATCTGCCATACTTCCAAAAGGCAAACACTCACGTTTGCCTTTTAAAAATGTAACTGGATAAAATAGTTTTCTGTGAACAGTTGGTTGTATACAGTCTCTGGGTCACTGGGTTAACTTCGGTTGGCATCAACATTGACAATATTTCTGCATCCCCGTTTTTCGACCCCCCCCCCTTTGTCTGGGACAGTGTAAATCCCTCTCCCGGGGTGGTCAGTTTTACATATTGTGTGTCACTAGACGGGTATAAAGGGATTTAACATTTAGTAAAGCATAATCCATTGCGGGCTTTGTGCCTGCCTAAGCTGCATACATCCAATCTGATTGCTAGAAGTGCACTGCTACCAATGACCAAAGCAGGCACAGGAAGGCACACAGAGCTTATCACTTCAACAATAAGAAGGAGAGACAGCGGGGGGGGGGGGGGGGGCTGATGGATCTACTGTGTTGACAATGGGAGTTAAATTATAAGATGGTGCACCTATGATAAAGTGTAATCATCCTAACAGCTCAAGTCTGCACAGAAGAGGCAGTGACGTTCAAGCCTCTCCAGACCCTGTCACACTAATTGAAATAGAAAACAGGATATATGGCTCTATGGCTGTTTGCTCGGATGTCAAAGTATAAATATTAGTCAGCTGTTAATCCACTGAGACAGTTGTTTAGATTGCTTTTGAATGTTTCAGGGACTCACTGCTTATATGCAAAAAGTTCCCCCCTCCCCCCTTCTGAATGGTTGGCTGGGAGACAAAGCGCCTGTGCATGGAGCTAAAAAAGGCTTCTCTAATAACACTTCCATGAAAAGATGCCACTTGGATGAAAAATGATTATGTGGAGGTGGTGAATTGTAGGTAGCATGACAGCTTCCAACAAACGCATTAATGTAGTAGAAACAAAACGCTGTTCCTGACCTGCCCTAAAGCAATAAAGTAAACACATGCGCTAGGAGCATTTGGCAGCACATATCTTATAAAAGATAAAGATTTAAAGCCTAAACCAACACTTGATCAATTTTACTGTTAAGTTCTTAGCGTGTCAAATATCCGTATACATCTATGAAGCTTGATATACGTTGATATCATATTAGGGCTAATTGATAATGGAAAAAAAGAGGTGTAAAATGCTTTGTGGCACAATACATTGCAATGCTAAAAGGTGACAATAAGCATTGTGTAAAACCTGGAATTTGTCTAAACCTGACTGAACTGACCTCAACAGTGCACCCCTGACATTGACATCAGATGGGGAGAGACATTCATGAAATTACAATTTACACAACTTCCCTAACTTAATAGTTTGTTGTCACAAAGATATTGTTATTTTACAAATCTTGATGCATCATAAACAACATTTTGTATTGTTAGACAATCACAATTAGTTAATAAACTTCAAATTTCAACTGACATAGTAATTCTCTTCCTACCTGATTTATGAGTGTTATTTAACAAATATGTATATTTGCTCAAATTGATAATTTGAGCAAATTGATAAAAAAATCAGAACAAATATGGTTTTGCCTTTCTAAAGTCAGACATTTGATTTCAGATAGTGAGACAGTATAAATTGTTGTATGAAGTGAAATGCTGTGAAAAAGAGTCCCACGCTGGAATTGTTGGTTTTTTGTTTGTGTGTAAACTTTGCCACTAGTAGATATTCTGTACTTTAGGGCAAAGTTTGTCGAGTAGATGGTTTTTTAAAAATGCAAATATCTAAATATTGTAATGTAATCTTGGTGTTTTGTGAGTTAGTTATTAAATTATTAGTGTTATTGTTTTTATATATTGTCTTTGTATAATTATGTTTGTTTATATCCTTGATTACACCAGAGAACAATATTAGAGTGATAATTAAAATCATTAGGATAAATCTAATAATTGAACAGCCTTACAATAAAAGGGCATAATTGAGATAAAACTTTTCTCAAAGTCTGAGTTACAAACACATCTATAACATGAGCTGGATGTATAGAATGAAGCCACAAGGCAGCTTTTCCTGCTCCGGTGTGACTCACTGCCTACACAAGGGCCTCTGCTGATACCGGTGCAGAGATAATTTAGCCAACAAGATTAGGGCTGCAGACCGAGGGCAGCATGTGTGCGGGGGGTGCTCTGCTCCTGGCTTGTTTCAGTAACAAAGCTCTGTATGCCTCAGTGTAGATGCGAGAGGGAGTTGGTGCTTACACCTCATGATAACGCACAGGCTGTAATTCTGATACAATCCCATTAGATATCCAAGGCAATGCGGGGCACCACCTCCCCTCGACTACTTGACCTTTTGCTGGCAGTGAGATGAATAAAGAGACATGACGGCCGTGATTTAGGCTCAAGGAGATTGCAGTGAGCAGGGCCTGGCTTCCTTCCTTCCTCTGACAGCCCGTGTTGACATTCCCACTTCTAGCACCAACCAATTTATAAACACTAGGTGAACAAGAGGCCATGTTTACAGCAGCGGAAAAGGTTGCTCGTCTTTTAGCCTCATTCAAGCTACTGTAATAAGGACATTGTACAACAGCTGTGCCAGAAAAAGTAGAATCTCATTTGCTCTTGAAAGGCAGCTTTGATGGAGCAGTGGAGGCGTATAGGAATAAAATCATTGTTAGGTTTATGGTCACTGCCAGGTCGTATGTACTGGGACTATTGACAGGAGTAGTGCAACAATTACACAAAGCAGGGCACCTTGAAATTGATTTAATGATGCAAATGGCCTCTGACTCGGATCTCAGCACGGCTAAGACTGCTCTCTCATAAAGCAGTGTAGCAGCTCTTCAGCGGATGGTTAAAAGATATTGCCTATTATATTGTATCAAAGTCATAGGTATTTGGCTGATTATTTACATTCAAAATCTCTTAACATCCACACATCCTGAACACTAAAGACTGCCTTTGTGTTATCCAAATGCATTTACCGGTACATGCAATCAATTTGACAATATAAATTACTTCAGTTAATTAAAACATCATAACTTATTAAGGCTACGACTAAAAAGAAATCACTGCAGAAGTCAGTATAGTGATTTTTCTCTCTAATGCAAGTAATTATAACATATTATCGATTGTAACATTTGTCAAAACTAATCTTGTTGGAAATTAATTTGCACAGCACAAAGGATAAACAATTAAGAGTAATTTATGCTGGATTTGTTTGACCAGGGCATTGCCTTAGACGCAGCATGTTTTTCCAACACTGACCTTGTTCTACACACACACACACACCCACACACACAAACACATGCACGCATACGCACATGCACAGGGCTCTGACACTCACCTCCAGGTCTGTAAACAATGTCATCTTCTGTGATGAAGGAGGTAATCTCTCCATTTTCTGTGCGTTCATAGCGGGATTTCTTTTTGGGCGTTTTCTTCTTGCCTTTCTTCCCGGCCTCCTCAGCTGTCCCACTGCCGCCACCCGTACTGTTATTGTCGTTATCGTCGTCCTCACTGTGTTCGCTCTCTGCATAGTTCTTAGCGCCTCCTTCCAGAGTGCAGCTACGCCGGGGCCGGGTGCTCTCTCCGTCCCGGTCAGGGTCCTGCTTGCGGGACTTTCCCCCTTCACGCTTGTCCCGGTCGCGATCTCTGTCCCGTTCTTTCTCCCGCTCTTTGTCTTTGTCGGCCGTCATGATCCGCCACGTGCCTTCCTCAGTCCTCTCACGGCTGGGCCTCCGTGAAAGGTAGACTGTGAGCCTGGGCTTCAGTCTTCTGAATTTACCAGTCAAATCCAGGGAAAATTTGGCCACACCAACAACCCCAGTGTTTCAGAAGAGCTATGAACACAAAAGCAGAAGGTCCGTTAGTAAAATGTGACAAAACAAGCCCAAGTATCAAAACTATGCATATGTGAAGGAATCTGAGGATTCATTCATGTTACATGTCAGTTGCATCTTTTTAAATAATATACAAAAATGTTGTATATTGTATCAAAAGATTATTGTACAACGTTCCCCTGTCACAAACAAAGGCATCACAAAACATGAAATTGTCCTTTTGTCCCTATTACGTAGATGGAGCAAAGATATTAAATTACAATTGCAATCATGATAACCGTGTGAAAGCTGCATTAGTAGCGCTATTAAAAAACAATTATGTATTCTGTGCATAAACTAAATTTTACAGCCCTTACTCTAAAGACGTTTTTTACTCCGCAGCCAGGCTGACTCTTCTCAACATCACAGTAATTGTTGGCAATCCCTCCACAGCCATGTATTCTCTGGAGAGCACTGAGTGGCTTATCAAAGGAACAGAGCCTTCTAGCTTCCTGCTCAAACATATTTCTCTTTTTCCACCGAGGCAATGAAACAGATTTAGTGCGTGCCAAGCAATGAGTGAAAATAGAGTGAAGCAAAAGTGTGAATGTGTAACACAATACGTTAAAGGGAGGTTTTACCAGCCTAAGCACAAATGGTAATTCTGCAGTAAAGATATGAGCACCTCACAGACAGATTCTTGTGTGGAAATGTATCCAGGGGCTTTTTGCGCAATGCCTGCAATGCTCAGGATAAAACTCTGTGACAAGAGTTAACTGGCCAGCTCATCTGAAGACCATCTGTGATGACACCCAGCTCAATTTTACTCCTGTCTGTCCGCTGTGTATGTGTGTGTCAGTGCTGGGCTAATGTGAAGTGACAGCTCTGGAGAGACGACCAGAGAATAGAGCAGGCCAGAGTCATTGGCCATGCTCAGTCCACTGCCTTTTACAGCTACAGTGAAAAAGCAGCCGCACAGCCGTCTCTAGTCATAATGAAGTCCTCCATAAACAGCAACGAACCCAGGCTTATGCTCCACACTGGCCCTACACACTGAGCCTACAAAGGAGGCTTCTCATTTACTGCCAGCACGTCCCCTCCTTTGCTCCCGCTGCAACAAATTAACTAGAAATAGTTATTACAGCGCCCAGAGGGAGCAGACCAGGCAATCAACAGCGCGTTACCATGGAGGTGATAGCAGGAGTGCAAAGAGAGACAGGTAACACTAAGCTGCTACAAAAAGCATGCTAGTTTATTGACAGCACTGGTTAGAAAGTGAGGTCAGGATTAGACGGTGAAGGCGCTTTAGCACGCACACACTCGTACAATGAAGCACATTTGACAATGGCCCTCCTCAGCAGCGGGTGCTGTCATCTTGTGAGCAGACACCAACTGACAGGGCAGCTGCTCTTGTCGTGGGCTTCAACACAAACAGCGAGCCTGATTAAACCGCAGCCTCGTCACAGCCCCATTAATCACCTAATGATGAGTTACCACGGCGACCACTGGGCTGACACACATAAGCCGCCAGGGCACGCACACACCAGGGACGGGTATATAGAGAGACAAGTGCACCTAATACACTCTGCATGAGCGTCAGATGTCAAGACCACACAAGAACAGGTCAAAACTGACAAGTCAGTGACAAACAGACAGCAAGATAATACAGGGAATAAATAAAAATTTTTGGGGTTGGCGAGTCGAGACAAGATTTTGACGATTGAAAAAAATAAATAAATAAAGAATTGGAATTGACGCGGGCATGTTAAGTGTTCCATCAAACTGTCAATATATTATAACTCTTAGCTTTGATGCCTCCTTGGCCGGTCTGAAAATGTTTCTACCGCTGTGTCCAAGAGTAAAAATAAGTTTGAGTTGGCGAGCAGTATTACAGTATTACAACACCGCTTCCTGTGGAGTGTCAAAGCGCGGACACAGTGCCTGTCTGCAGCGATGAGCCTCGGAGGTGTAAGGAACATGAAAACATTGATGACGGTAGAGTTTGATGACTCTGGTCTCGGGCTGACAGGGCGCGAGGGTGAGCTAAGCACCTCTCTCTTCCGATCTAATCAGGAACATGCGGCGAAGACTCTAAACTGTTTTAAATAGAGTACTCTTTGAAGTCGGGTGCTGCACAAGCCTCTCTGAGTATCTGCACAATCGAGGTGCTATTAGTCCACATCTGGTTACACTTTACACAACTGCCCTGCCTCAAATGCTCCTTCCTCAATCATCTCCATAAGTGGGGCAGAGATTTACTTCATCCTTACAAATGTTTTTGATGTAAATAATGTTTCAACAGAGTGAGATGACATTGTATTAACTTAAGGTAAACAATACAAAACATTGCCTTGGCTATTTAATTATGAAAAAGCATGTTAATCATTTAAGTGAAAGAATCATTACCCCAGCCCAAAACAGGTCAATCGGTCATGAGCCAGCATGATGAATAAAGGCTTTTTAATTTAGACTTCCTTGTGCGTCCCATATTTTGTTTAGCAGTGCAAGAATGGCTTTTTCAGTCTGATTGTGTTTATCCAAGAGCACCCTTGGCCTTTTACCAGGATGAAACACCAGCAGAAAACAGCCACAATGTTTCTTCAGGTCAATAAATCACTTTCAAAGGTTATATAATTACATTTGTGAATATGGAGCTCAACTTCTAATCTACAAACTACCCAGAGGCACCATCACTTTGAAAGCGGAAAGTAAACAGAAACAGGACACAAATCCATTTCATCATCATTTCATCATCCATCAACAAACACATCACTAAAAAAGACCTCATCCTTTTGAATTATGATCGATTCACAATAAACTACTACTACATACAAAAATTCACCTATACCAGGAATCCGATGGCTTGTTAAACCCTTTAGAATGCTGCAGTATGACCATTTTTTGATTATTTGGAAGTTACAGCTCCACCAATACAGGTATCGTGAGTTAATAAGCAATCATCATTTAGGTAAATATAATCAAAACAATATGTCATACCGTTTTAATGCTCTGAAGAGCTCAGGTATTTTTACAATTCATGTATTGTTTTTGAAATAGCATGCAATTTAAACTGTTACCATTGTTTTGTTAGCATCTGGCTAATGCTAGTGAGGGTGAGACAGTTCAATGGTCACAGGTTCACAGCTGTGTCCTGGACAGTTCAAGTGTGTTTAGAATCAATGTCAATTCTATTTGTATTTGCAATATTCTAGAAAATAAGCAATAATAATAGTTTTATATTGCATTTTTCAAAATAATGTTACGCTTTTCAAGGAGACATTCACTTCACACAAAATGAATTCATGCAAACACACAAAAATCATTCATACAAACATATATTGTGTGGTTTGCCCAAGTGTTTTATGGCAGATCCAAGTGTGTTTGGCTGATCTAACAAAGAATACATTCTGAGCTGTGTCCGGGTGCAGGGCTTGTAGGAAGAACGTTTTCCTATAGTGCAGGGCTTTTGAACGTTTTTTTCCCCTCTAGGGGCCAGACATTTGCATGACTGTCCTTCAAGTTCAAGTAGACAGATAGAAATGTTGTATTAGTGTTGTAATAGTGCATGTAATGAAATGGCTCCAACTTTGTAAAAAATAGAGGAAACAGAACCAACATTATTCATAATTGGCTCTAAATGCTAAAACAAATAACAGCAACTTTTTTCAAGAATAAGTAGTAGTTTCATAGATATTTTCTGGATTTAGCAATCACCCAAAAAGGCATAGAAAAAAGAATGAGCAAGAGATGTTACTAAACAGATAAACACACAGACCCTTGAAAGTGCATTATAATTGAAGACAATTAACAATGTTCAGCTGCAAATGACCACAGTAAATATCATCTGAAAATAAACACTTAAGAGAAACAGACACAGCTAAAACAAAAAGTGACGTCAGCACTTCACCATTAAACTTATTTTGTCACGTTGTATTTGAAGATTGTTAATATCCAATTCACTGACAAGGGCCATCTACTCAAGCGACTGATGTAGAATAAAGAGTGATTTAACATCGGACAAATTAAGTGTGCACAAGGGAGTGAGTCATGGTGTGAAGTAGTAGCCTGGCGCAGCAATGAACAGCCATAACGTATTGATGGTGCAGAGGAAAAACGAACCTCTCCACCCACCGGCAGAGGAAACAAAGTGCCGGCTGGCCCCATGAATACGGTTGTGAGGGGGCAGGTGAGGCTGGGAGCTATTACACATCAATCACCAGGCCGGGACCCTTTGAAAGATACCAGCTGTCTTAATGGAAAAATAGAGGAGGGGGGCTAGAAGGGTCTCCAGCCTAATCCAGCATTTACATTACTGCAAAGGAGTCAAGGGCTCGCAGCCAGCAGGGACCGGCTCAAAACGCATCTCGCTTTTCAGTGACTGGTTAAATGAGACCTCTGGCCTGAGCAAGCACATGGTTTGTGGCTTGATTAACACATCAGCCCCAACAAAGGCCACCCAGCAGGCCTCTGTTTCTAAATACTACTAACTGTTTTCAAAGTAGCAAAGTAGCATGTTTTATTCATTTCAATCACTGCCCCACTTCCCAAATCCATTCTCATCGCTGGAGTTTGAATCAAAAGTTGTCAAAGGATAAACATTTACACTTTCTTGAGTAGAGTATCCATAGATGAAAGAAAAAAATAGACTAATTGATTATATCTGGATTATTTGAAACACATACATTCTCCAGTAAAACAAATATGGATTTAAATGCAAACCAGCCAACACAAACATCACAGTCTGCGGAAGTACAAAGTCATTCAAATGGTGAATTATGGAGTAGCGAAAAATGTGACCGCCGAGGATTTAAGGAGGGCTTTGCAGAAAGATTGAATGAAAATGCCAGAGTGAATACAGATTAGAAGGGGAACAATGTTAGCATGAATATACAGAGGCTTATTAACAATGAGGGCCAGCTCAAATTGATCCATATGAAGCAGTGGGATCCTCGCCGGGGTGTTGTCGACCAATCCATTACAACTGCCATCTCAAATAAGCTGCACTGAAACAACAGCCTAGG